TGGGGCTTTTTAGGGGTCCCCTCACCATGTCACCTACCTTCAAATCCATACACACAAGGGTTATGTGACTTATTATTTTTCCCTTTCCAAAAAAGAGCTTTTTTGTTTTTGATAACTTTATGGAATTGGTACTCTCTCATTGAATTATAAAAATGTCCCTTTTTTCAAAGCAAGATGGTAAGAGGGCAGATAAGTTAAAGGTTTTTTTTTTTTAAAAAAAAACTATTTAAAGATAACTCACTGAAGCAATCACAGAATGTCATTATATCTCAGATACTACAGGAAAATCTGAACTGAGGCGCATTAAAACTCAGACCTCGCCCACTGAGTCCATTTGAGTTTCTGCAGCAGATACTGTTTCCGGATGCAACAGCCATAAACTTCCGGATCCTACAGGCCTTTCTGCATGCTCACTAATGGAATACCAAAAACAGCAATGACAAAAAACAAAAAAACCCTATTTTTAGTCCAGCTAAACTTGGTTTTGAAAAACCCTTCCCAAAAGCAAGCTTCTTATTTTCTAGTTGGTGGACAAATATTTTATTTTATTTTATTTTCAGAAATTGAATTGCTTTTATTTTATTTATTTTTTTTACATCTTTATTGGAGTATAATTGCTTTACAATGGTGTGTTAGTTTCTGCTTTACAACAAAGTGAATCAGCTATACATATACATATGTTCCCATATCTCCTCCCTCTTGCGTCTCCCTCCTTCCCACCCTCCCCATCCCACCCCTCTAGGTGGTCACATAGCACCGAGCTGATCTCCCTGTGCTATGCGGCTGTGGACAAATATTTTAAATATAATTACATCCTTAGTGTTTTATAAGAAAAGCATAGGGATAAGAGGGCTCAGATCCTTACACATTCACTTCGAATAAAGCTCTCCCTTTCCTGGCAGAGTCCAAAATGAAGAGTCATTGCCCCAAATAGCATAATGACACACTTTGAAAAGGTGTGAAATACTGTGTCCTACCAATACATCTTGGTTGATTGAGTACATTTGTTTGATCTCAATGCTGCTAACTCCACCCAAGATCACAAACATTCTATGAAAATATAAAGTGCACAGCTAGTTTTAAATTTTGCTTGCCAAAGATTCCCTTCAAGTTTTAACCCCAACTTGTGAGTCAAAGATATGACATCACATACATAAAGCTGCATCTCTGACGTGAAAAATGTTATGATAAATAAGCAGCTAAGAGGAGACACTTGAACTATGCTTAGCTATTCCCACTGAAATTTATGATGTTATTAGAACTCATCAATCACTGAAATCATTCCATTCTGCACCCTAAATATCAAAATCCTGAGTCAATCTACCTGGAAGCATTTCACAGGCGGGGAAAAAAAGTAACCGTTTAATCGGTCACCTTCTGTCAAGACTTACTTCTGATTGAAGGGGTCACTGCACACTTAACTAATATCAAAAATTTAAGAAATTTAAAAATCCGACTTGGCATTTAATTATCACAGAATAATTTCAAGCTAGATGAGAATCCACTGTTTTACTCATTGAAGCTGAAACGTAATAATTATGTCACAGCTAAGGAAAGTCACGCCCTCCACGCTGATCTGCTTTTTGAAGACTATTTTATTAGCTGTGTACACAAGAAGCTAACCTACTTCCCAAACTCTTACAACACATAATCAAGGAACAAGCAACTGGATAATGGGCAGGGATTGCCTTTCAAAGTAAAAGCTACAGAGAAGCCATTAGACAACTATTATGAAAGCAAACAGGTATGCCTGGAAAAATCTTTTTTCCTGATATTTTTAGACTAAATTCAGATAATTACTAAGCCCTTTTTTTAGGTCACTCCCCACCAAAATATATAATTGCCTACATTTATAATTTTAGAATTTTAACTTTCAGTGAGATGTCACAGTATGGTAAGTAACTCTCTTATACCTGCTATTACTACACTGTATCTTATTCTGGTCCCATCCCCACCACGATAGAATTTATGAAACCGTGCAGTCAAAGAATGCCTTAAGCTACAGTTTTCCCTAAGCTCTATGACCTTGTTAGTAAAATGATATTAAATGTATTGCTTTATAAGAATCAAGATTATTCTTCCTCCTCAGAAGTGTGTGTAAAGTCAGTTCATCTCATAATGGGAAGATCAATTCTTGTGGCACTTTTGGTTTACGGGGCCTAAAATAAAGTTTTGAGAGAAGGCATCACGTCCTAATTTTGTGTTCCTTACAACTGTCCACTTCGTAGAGTTGCCGATAATTTAATATTTAAGTGGCCAATGTTTCACAAGCAGACAGGTCTTACATACTGGTTTGTGGGGAGTTTTTATTCTTTAAAAAATAAACTCTAATAAGTACATAAGGAATATGTATTAGAAATCATACTTTCCTTCTCCCCCTCCCATCTTTTCTTTCCTCTGACGGGAATGGCAGGAAAAGATATCCAGGGTATCAAAGATAATTTTTTAAAAACAAAAGTCCACTTAAGACATTTTTGTTTTGATATCATTTGTTTTAAAAGTTACTGAAATCAGGCTTTTGCATTTTTTTGTTTGGCAGGAAAAAATTTAACAAAATACAGAGCGTTCAAATCAAAGGGAATTATCCTATGTAATGATCAAAACCAGTAGAGTAATAATAATAAAAAACAATAATAATACCAAAAGTATAAATGTGCGTTTACTCTGAACAATCAACTAAGAAATAAAACAGATCTTCAAGAAAGTCAAATGTTTTAGGCTAATAACTTGAAATAGATTTCAAGAGAGATGTATTTATCATTTTAAAAAATACATGTCATACCCTCATGTTTTTCACTTGGTTCACAATGAAATATGAAGGTAATAATTACAATTAGCTGTTATTAAATTGGTTCTTGCTGAGTAGATTTTAAAACTCCCAACAGGTTATTAACGTGCATTTTGTACAACATATTTAAGCCACGGGTATCTAAAAATAATTTTTAAATATGCATGTATACTCTAATTTGAAACCTTCCAAGCCAGCATCTATGAAAACTACGGCCCTTATTTTAAAGGGAATCTTTTAAAACCGCCATCAAGCAAACCAGTCTTAACCCTCTCACTGAACTGGTGGTTAGTACACAATGGGTAACTTTTCTCTTTGTTCTGATTTCTGTCCCCCACCCAATAAAACTGTCTTCGTTTTTGTCACGAAATCCTCCAACTACCTAACCAGATATTTATTTCCTAAACTTTTTCTTAAAAAGAAAAAATGTTCATGCTTCTCGTAAAATCGTCAGACCTCTTTTCTGACTCGGCTCATAATTGTGTCTTTTAAACCATAACTCAACTTTAATGTATACCGCTCGGCACCCGCGTGTTGGGAACGTAAAAAAATGCCGTCTATGTACCTTTAAGACCACAAGCTCGCTCACGCTGCCTGGCTTCTTGCCAAACTTGGAGGCAAAAGCTGGGGGAGTTTTGCAAGATATCTTCTGAGAATTGTCGCTCCGTCTTCCAGCACTACCACCACGACCATCTCTTCTTCAAAAAATGTGTAGAGTGGGGTCAGGCGCGCGCTCAGACCACCGCACCGTTCCTGGGGAAGCTGCCTTTGCCCCTCACCCGCTTCCTCTACCTCTGCCGCCCGGCGGAGGCCCTGACGGTTTGGGTTGCACAAGTTCAGCCCGGTCTGCACCAGGGTCTCTGGGCACCTTTGCGCCCCCTGGGGCCCCCCGGCCGTGTCAAAGGAAGTTCAGCCCGTACTCTCCCCGCGCAGCACCGCGTAGTCTCAAGTCGCAAGGTCTGAAGTTCCCTTGAGAAGAAGGGGCCGCCCAGTCATCTCCGCGCGGCGAGTCAACGTACCTTGGGGCGCTTGCAAGGCTGCGCTGAGAGCGCGGTCCGCCCTGGCATTGAGAGTTCGAGTCCCAGCCCTCCCGCTAAGCAGTAGCCGGCTTCTTGACTCTCCCAAATTTCGCGGCCGTAGAGTCACCCCCGCGGCGCGAATTTAAGAAACTCACTAGTTTTGTCCTGGAGGCAATGAGGCGAACGTAGAAATCCCGCTGCGTCCTCATTCCTGGGGGAGGGGCGGGGGATAGGGGAACGAAGGAGAATTAAGTGAGAGAGGATCTGCAGGAAACAGACAAACAAAGAATGGGGCTCCGAGGCTGATGGAAGGCCGACTGTCCCGGAGAAGCACAGCCAGGTCCCTCTTCCCCAGTTCCCGGACGAGGGCCTCTGGTCCAGCCCGAGCGCGTTTGGAAGGCACCCCGCCCCCAAGCACAGCGGCTGGGAATCGGGCGGGCGGCG